CACCAAACCAGCAATGCAAGAAATGCTAAAGGGTCTACTATAATAATAAAGAATTACGAAGCAAAGAAGGAACACAGGAGTATATAATAAAAATGGCATCAAATAAATACCTATCAATAATAAATGTAAATCTAAATGGATTAAATGCTCCAATCAAAAGAAATAGGGTAAAAGATTGGATAAGAAAACAAGACCAATATATCTGTTGTCCACAAGAAACCCACTTCGGAAAAAAAGATGCACACAGACTGAGCGTGAAGGGATGGAAAAAGGTTATCCAGACAAATGGAAATGGGGTAGCAATACTTATATCTGAGAAATTAGACATCAACGTGAAGGACATAACAAGAGGTAATGAAGGGCACTTCATAATACTAAAGGGGGCAATCCACCAAGAAGAAATAACCCTGGTAAACATATATGCACCCAATACAGAAGCACCCAAATACATTAAAAAAAAAACAAAAAACTGCTGGAGGACATTAAGGGAGAGATTAATAGCAATACAATCATACTAGGAGATTTTAATACCCCACTGTCACCTTTGGACAAATCATCTACACAAAAAATCAGAAAAGAAATATCAATCCTAAATGACGCACTACACCAGATGGAATTAATTGACATCTTCAAAACATTCCACCCCAAAGCCACAGAATATACATTCTTCTCAAGTGCACACGGGACATTCTCAAAGATAGACCACACGTTGGGACATAGGCAAAGTATCTTCAAATTCAAGAAGATAGAAATCATATCAAGCATCTTCTCATATCATAGTGGCATAAAACTGGAAATTAACTATAATAAAAATAATCCAAAGAAATCAAACACATGGAGATTAAACAGCATGTCATTAAACAATGACTGGGTTACCAGAGAAATCAAGGAAGAAATTAAAAACATCCTGGCAACAAATGACAATGAAACACAACAATCCAAAATGTATGGGACACAGCAAAAGCAGTTTTGAAAGTGAAGTTCATATCTCTACAAGCCTATTACAAAAAAAAAAAAAAAAAAAAACAAGAAAAAACAGTAACAAATTATCTAACTCTACAACTGAAAGAGTTAGAAAAAGAGCAACAAGAAAAGCCCAGTGTAAGCAGAAGGAAGGAAATAACAAAAATCAGAGCACAGATAAACGACATAGAGACCAAAGAAACAATACATAAGATCAATAAAACCAAGAGCTGGTTCTTTGAAAGGATAAACAAGATTGACGAACCTTTAGCCAGGCTAACCAAGAAACAAAGACAGAGGACCCAAATAAACAAAATCAGAAACGAAAGAGGTGAAATAACAACAGACCCCTCCGAAATATAAAGGATTGTAACAAAATACTATGAACTCTATTCCAACAAACTGAACAACCTGGAGGAAATGGACAGATTCCTAGAAAAATACAAACTTCCAAAACTCAATCAGGAAGAATTTAAAAACCTCAATAGACCAGTGACTTGGGAAGAAATTGAAACAGTCATCAAAAAGCTTCCAGCAAACAAAAGCCCAAGGCCTGATGGCTTCACAGGAGAGTTTTACCAAACATTCAAGGAAGAACTAAAACCTATCCTCCTCAGACTATTCCAAAAAATCCAAGAGGAAGGAACACTTCCAAACTCCTTCTATGAAGCCAGCATCACCCTAATACCAAAACCAGATAAAGACAACTCAATGAAAGAGAATTACAAGCCAATATCCCTCATGAACTAAGATGCCAAAAGCCTCAACAAAATTCTAGCAAATCAGCTCAAGCAGAACATCACAAAGATCATACACCACAAACAAGTAGGATTTATTCCAGGAATGCAAGGATGGTACAATATCCTCAAATCAATAAACGTGATACATCATATAAACAAGTTGAAAGATAAAAATCATATAGTCATATCAATTGATGCAGAAAAAGCATTTGATAAAATCCAACACCTTTTCCTGATAAAAACTCTCAACAAGGTGGGAATACAAAGAGCATACCTCAACATAATAAAAGCTATATATGATAAACCCATAGCCAACATCATACCCAATGGGCAAAAACTAAAACCATTCCCTCTAAGAACAGGAACAATACAGGGATGCCCACTCTCACCACTCCTGTTTGACATAGTAGTGGAAGTACTAGCCATTGCAATTAGACAAGAAGAGGAAATAAAAGGCATCCAAATTGGAAAAAAAGAAGTAAAGTTATCCTTATTTGCAGACAACATGATATTGTACATAAAAAAACCCAAAAGACTCCATAAAAAAACTAATAGACTTAATAAATGAATTTGGCAATGTAGCAAGATACAAAATTAAAGCCAAGAAATCTATGGTATTTCTATCCACCAATAGTGAACTTGCAGAAACAGAGACTAAAAAGGCAATCCTATTTACCATCACACCAAAAAAAATAAGTTACCTAGGAATAAACCTAAATAAGTAGGTAAAAGACCTGTACAGGGAAAATTACACGACACTGAAAAATAAGATAGAGGAAAATGTAAACAGGTGCAAGAACAATCCATGTTCATGGATTGGTAGAATCAACAGCATCGAAATGTCCATACTTCCCAAACCAATCTATAGGTTCACTGCATTCCCAATTAAAATACCAATGGCATATTTCACTGACCTAGAAAGAACTCTCCAAAAGTTCATTTGGAACAATAAAAGACCCCGAATAGCTAAAGCAATCCTGAGAAAGAAGAGTAAAGTAGGAGGGATCTCAATACCAGATTTCAAGCTGTATTACAAAGCCACTGTTCTCAAAACAGCCTGGTACTGGCACAAGAACAGACATATAGATCAATGGAATAGAATTGAGAACCCAGATATCATCCCAAATCACTATGCTCAATTTATATTTGACAAAGGAGGCACGAACATACAATGGAGTTAAGACAGTCTCTTCAATAAACGGTGTTTGGGAAATTGGACAGACATATGCAAAAGAATGAAACCAGAACACCAACTTACACCATACACAAAAATAAACTCAAAATGGATACAGGACCAGAAACCATAAAAATACTAGAGGCATCCACAGGCAGCAAAATCTCAGACATATGCCAAAAGAACTTCTTCACTGATACTGCCCCTAGGGCAATGGAAGCTAAACAGAAAATGAACAAATGGGGCTACATCAAAATAAAAAGTTTTTTTCAGCAAAAGAAACCATCAACAAAACAACAAGAAAGCCCACTGTATGGGAGAACATATTTACAAATGTTATCACTGATAAAGGTTTAATCTCCAATGTCTACAGACAGCTTATACAACTTAATAAAAGGAAGATAAATGACCCAATTAAAAAATGGGCAATGGATCTAAATAGAATCTTCTCAAAATAAGACAGAAGGAAGGCCAAGAGGCACATGAAAACATGCTCAAAGTCACTAATTATCCGAGAGATGCAAATCAAAACAACAATGCGGTACCATCTCACACCTGTCAGAATGGCCAACATCAACAAATCAACAAACGACAAGTGTTGGCGAGGTTGCGGAGAAAAAGGAACCCTAGTGCACTGCTGGTGGGAATGCAGACTGGTGCAACCACTGTGGAGAACAGTGTGGAGTTTCCTCAAAAAACTGAAAATGGAACTCCCATTTGACCCAGTAATCCCACTCCTAGGAATATATCCCAAGAAACTAGAAAACACCAATCAGAAAGGATATATGCACCCCTATGTTCATAGCAGCACAATTTACAATAGCTAGGATTTGGAAACAGCCTAGATGCCCATCAGCAGATGATTGGATCCAAAACCACGGTACATCTACACAATGGAATATTATGCTGCCATAAAAAAGAAATTCTCATCATTTGCAGCAACCTGGATGGAATTGGAGAACATCATGCTGAGTAAAATAAGCCAATCAATGAAAGAGAAACACCATATGACCTCACTCATTTATGGATGATAAAGAACGTTATAAACTGAAGAACCACAAGATAGATATAGAGACCGTAAAGCAACAAACAGACTGTCAAATTACAGCGGGGAGGGCAGGGAGATCAAGGGTAGATAAGAGATCAACCAAAGGACTTATATACATGCATATAAATACAACCAATGGACACAAAACTCTGGGGAGGGAGGGCATATATGGGAGAGGGGGGCAATGGTATATGTACAAAGATAATAATTTGATAAAAAATAAAAAATAAAAATAAATAAAATAAAATAAAAAAGAGACAAATTCAAAAAAAAAGTTCAACACTAAGCAAATAAATTTTAATTTTAACATAATTTAAACTCTAACATAAGCTATTTTTGTATTTATGCTTCACATTCAATAGACACAAATTTAACTTCTAACTCTGGAACCCAGGAACTTGTGGATTTGCTAACTAAACAGTTTTCTGTTATGCAGTAACATCTCCATCTGCTGGAATTTTGGGTGTCTGTTAATTCCACAATCCTAGAAATTAAAAATTCATTTTTGGAGGGGTAGAGGAGGGGACAGATATTATTCAATTTAATTTTGTTTAAACAAATATTTATCACTTGTGTAAGATGTGCCATGCCCTGTGCTAAGTGATGTAAAAAAACCAAGACTAGTTGAGCTAATCTCCCTGCCATCACAGAACTGACAATCTGGAGGGAGAGAGAGGTGTGTAAATAACCACCAAACCTCAATGGAATAAGTTACAAACTTACATATTTTGTAAATTCTGAGGTTGAGACAGACTGGACGATTGAGAATAATGTGTGAAAGCACTGGGGGAAAAGTTCTTTCTTAACAAAGGATATGTCTCAAGGACCAGCTGCATTTCTGCTCCTCCTCAATCCAAAAGCTCAGGTGTGGGAAAAATGATGCAGCTGAGTCCTGGGATATAATGAGGATACAGCTGCTAGATCTATACAAATTCTATTTGGCACTATAAATGGGGCTGGATTCTGCCAGGAAGCCAAAGACTGCCAAATTCCAATTTAAGATATTGAATTTAAAAAAAGAGAAAGGAAACTTATAATGAAAATACATTATGACAAATAATATGGCACACATTACCTTTAAATATGATCCATAGTATTTTGTTACATATGAGCTGTCACACTGACTCAAAACAGTTATTTCTTGCTGAATGTCTTCAATTTCATCTTCAGCTTCCTCGAGGTCTATGATTTTAATAGCAACCACTTGCTGGGTACGGTTATCAATTCCTTTGAAAACTTCTCCAAAGGAGCCTTTTCCAATGCGTTCTAATTTTGTGAACAGTTCTTCTGGATCAGCTATATTATTCTAAGAGGAGGGAAAGAAAGAAAGGGAATAACACAAATGTTTTGCATCAATTCTTTTAAACGAAGGAAAATAAATCGTATAGGACATTAACACATTTTTAAAAAACATACAAATTCCCTTGACTCTTCACATGTGCTTTGTTTGAACAACAGTAACTCCAAATGGTGGACTAGTCCATATTCTACTGGATCACACACATTCATTTGGCTTCCTTTCCTTAATCCTGCTACCACAAACAATCCTATATAACAAATGTTGTCTCTGAAGTCTGCCAAAGGGCCTGACATGTTTTAGAGTAAAGCAGCTGGCTATAGATAGTTTGCACATTAATGCTATGATAGCTATAGTGAAAGAATTCTTTTTTAAAATATATTTTATTGATTATTTTACAGAGAGGAAGGGAAAGAGAGAGAGGGAGAGTTAGAAACATCGATCAACTGCCTCCTGCATACCCTTTACTGGGGATTTGCCCACAACCAAGGTACATGCCCTTGACTGGAATCAAACTTGAGACCTTTCAATACGCAGGCTGACGCTCTATCCACTGAGCCAAACCGGTTTTGGCAATAGTGAGAGAACTCTTAAACTAAGCTATTAAAATGTGAATCATTAAAAATTCTAGCATTCCACCAGCAATATGTTACCTTTTAATTCTCCTTATACTTCTTCAACTTGGACAACTCAATCAGCCATCCTACTAGTACACTTCTACAAGTTTCATTTTTTCTTGTTTTTTAAAAAAATCTTTATTGTTGAAAATATTACATAGGTCCTCCTTTCATTTTTTTCTTTACTTGAGATCTTATCCAAATGAAATGTTCTCATCAATTACTGAAATAATATTCTATGCCTTTATCATTATAATTGCTAGTGCTCATCAGGAAATGGCAATATATTGAACTTTCACAACTTATCTCACAATGGGAATCCAGAGTAAGTCCACATAAAATTTGTAGGCAAGCATATGTTTTAATAAAAATATAGGCATGGCTTAGATTTATAAATCACTGTCCTTTCCTGATTCAAAATCATCCTTTATCTTATCATATACAACTTTTAACTAAAATTTTATGCCCACAAGACAACCTTTATGTGCCTACTTAAACTCATATCGCTTAATACTGTACATCTTTCTAATCAAGTAGAACACAAGATCTACAAACCTTCCCCAAAGGCATGTTATTAATTTATATTTAGGTGATTTATTATTCTGTACCTAAAACTTTACTTTTAGTTCCTTCAAAATATAAGAGAATATTAGCTAGTTCTGGTAGCTATCTATATTTATTTTGACAGTTGAACCCAGATCATCTGTTCATTTACAACCTTACCTAGTCATAAATTGAGGAGACAATTATAGAGTTAGCATGTTCCCTTATGTCTTCTTTTATTACACAAAGTAATCATTAAAGTTCACTTTTTTCTCTCATCAAATTCTCTGCAATATTATAACCAAATAGATTCATTATCACTCCAGCAAACTAATTTTGAGTAACTTGAAAACTTATAATTGCCTTAAATTTTTTTTCACCAACTTTTCTTTTTTCCAACCTGCTTAAATTCAGTTCGCACATGACCTGCTTATTTTATAAACTTCCGCATTTTTCTGAGTTGGATATTTTCCATTTCTAAAAGTTGTACTTTCTATGTAGTAGTCTTTTTGATGTTGCAAGCTACTTGTTATCCTCACCCCACCTACAAAACCCACATGAAAGAAATATATCTTGAGTTTCCCATATAGACTTTCAAAAATGGTTTAGACTTTCAGTAGGTTGAAATGCCTTTTTAATGCTCACACTTTTTAATAATATGTTCCCCAACACTTCAGTACTCTCATTATCGATGTCATTGGTAGTCTCTTTCTTACAAAGACATTGTACTTCATTATGATTACTATTACATAGTATCTCAACCAAAGGTATCTCTCTTCCAACTTTTGGTGATGGTTTTTGTCTCTCCAGTACCTTGTGGCAAAAACAAAAGCTTTGTCAAACAGCTTGGTGACAGGTTCAGCACCCTATTACTTCCTAAATTCAGTAGATTAGAAAAAGATAAAGGAAAAAAAAACTTTGCTTTTTCCCCCTTTTTTTTTCTTCTTCCTCTTCATTTGCCTCTCAGCATAACTATTATGGTTTGTCTCATTTTTGGTTCTTATAAGTGTATTTCTTGTATCACATGATCTCACTCAACTAGGGGAAATAATGAACAACCTAACTGATGAACAAAACAGACCCAGAGACAGGGAAGCATAGATCAGACTGTCAAACCTCAGAGGGAAGGTAGAGGAGGGTCGGGGGAGGGGGAGAGATCAACCAAAGGACTTGTATGCATGCATATAAGTCTAACCATTGGTCATGGACTACAGGGGGGTGGGGGCATAAATGGGGAGGGGTTTGGGATGGGAATGGGAAAATGAGGACAATTGTGTGATAACATAATCAATAAAGAAATTTAAAAAAAGAAAAAAGCTTTCAGTCTTTCTGACATAACTATAAAACAAATTTAAAAATTGGATATATACCATAATTTAAAAAAATACATAATATGTACTTTCTGATACACTGTCAACCAGGAAGTAGATTAAACTTGGTTGTAGAAAACATTTTATGCTGTACAACAACAAAAAAAAGTTGTTGTATTAAATCCTAATCTTCCTCCCTCCCTTCTTCTCCCTCTCCCTCCCTCCTTTCCTTCCTTCCTACTTTTAAAATTAAATTTATTGGAGTGATATTGGTTAATATGATCATATAGATTTTAGGTGTGGGTTTCTATGTTATAAAATCTATATATTGCTCTGTGTGCCCGCCACCTAAAGTCAAATCTTCTCCTGTCACCTCATATTAGGACCCTTTTCTCCCCCACCCCCTTCTCTCTGCCAACCACCATTCTGTTTGTGTTTATAAGTTTCAGTTTTATATCCCACATGTAAGTGAAGTCATATGGTTCTTAGCCTTTTCTGTCTGATTTATTTCATTTAGCATAATGTTCTCAAGGTCCATCCATGTTGTTACAAATGGTAAGAATTCCTTCTTTTTTATAGCAGTGTAGTATCCGATTGTGTAGATATACCACAGTTTTTAATACACTCATCTGCTGATGGGTACTTAGGCTGTTTCCAAATCTTAGCTATGGTGAACTGTGCTAATAACATAGGGGTGCATATATCCTTTCTGATTGGTGTTTCTGTTTTCTTGGGATATATTCATAGAAGTGGGATTATTGGGTCAAATGGTAGTTCCATTTTTAATTTTTTGAGGAAACTCCATACTGTTCTCCACAGTGGCTGTACCAGTCTGCATTCCCACCAGCAATGCAACAGGGTTCCTTTTTCTTCGCATCCTTGCCAGCACTTTTCCTTTGTGATTTGTGGATGATAGCCATTCTGAAAGCTGTGAAATGGTACCTCATTGTTATTTTGATTTGCATCTCTCAGAAGATAAGTGACTTTGAGCACATTTTCACATGTCTCTTGGCCTTCTGTATGTCCATTTTCCAAAAGTGTCTATCTAGGCCCTTTGCCCTTTTTTTGATTGAATTGCTTATCTTCTTTTTGATAAGTTGTATGAGCTCTTTGTAAATTTTGGAGATTAATCCCTTATTGGAGATATCATTGACAAATATGTTCTCCCATGCAGTGGGTTTTCTTGTTGTTTCTTGATTTGTCCAATCTTATTCACATCACTCTTCTTCAGAGCCTCTAAGAAAGTCAAGTCAGTTTCCTTCCCACTCAAATCAAATATTCTTTTAAGACTATTAAAATTCCCAAATCGTTCTTTTGCTACTGCAAGATTGCAGTTTATTATTATATCTATATTTACAATACCTTCTCAAAGCTGTAGCTCAGAAAGGAGCTCTAAGTTCTAAAGCAGCAAATAGGAAGAATGGCTAATTAATGTAATATTGATTTACAATGAATGGTAGCCAATTTATCACAAAAACAGGTCTGTGAAAATAAAAATCTCACAGATCCACCTCAGGACATTCACATTATTCTTTCACTGTCTTTATCTTTCCTTTGCTTGAAATTTATCTCTTTAGCTATAAGTACATTGTTACAAATTTAAGTCTGAAGCGGACGTAACATTACTATTAATAAAATAACAATGATGACAAATTTTTGTATGTAAATACTCTTAGTAAGTCCAAAAGGGAAAAACATAAGATGGTCATTTTGTTTGTCTCCTGTGTAAAGTCAGGGGCAGATGAAAGAAGACTACTTGCATACTTAAATCACAAAATCAGCAAGTGAAAGAACTTTCGAGGGTTCTCTAAGTGCCCTCCAGTCCTGACTGCACATAAGGAATCACCAATACAACTTTTTAAATGCCGATACCTAGGACTCATTCCAAAACTATTGATTCAGAATCTCTGAAATTGGACCCAGCAATCAGTATGTTTTTCAAAATTACTCAAAAATATTTTTCATATAGTCATTTTGGCCCCAGTTTTAAGATTAGCATTTGGGAACCAGTAAGCAGGCAGATATTGAATTTATATTATTGATTATATGGAACTCATTACCACTATTTTTTCCCAGGTAAGCCTGTGGCTCTCTTCTAACTTTGACTGTTTAAGTGGACAACTTGGAAATTAAAATAAAACCAAGAACACCTTAATATTTATATATATAAATGTACCTATGTTTCAAAAATTAGGTCTTCAATACTTTTATATGGACACATCTCTACCAATAAAATTACCCTAAAATAAGACAAGAAATAATATTTACCCAAATATACACAATGTGTTCTCTACATTTTGTGTATGTATTCTTGAACTTAAAAAAAAATAATTGATTTCAGAGAGAAAGGGAGAGGGAGAGAGATAGCAACATCAATGATGAGAGAGAATCATTGGTTGGTTGCCTCCTGCACATACTCTAGTGGGGATGGAGCCCACAAACCGATGTGCTCTTGACTGGAATCAAACCCAGGACCCTTCAATTCACAGGCTGGCCCTCTATCTACTGAGCCAAACCAGCAAGGACTCTTGAACTTTTT